CTGGCCTCCAGCTGAGTGGGGGCTGGGCACACGCCCCTCAGAAGCTGCTTGAATCCCAGCTCTTCCACATCACGTTGGGGCCTCCGAGCGCCAGCTCCTCAAATGACCCCGGCGCCCAGAGGTCCCCGGCGCCCAAAGGTCGCTGAGTTTTAACGCCAGGGCTCCGTGATTCGGGAGGGCACCAGCAACATGTGATCTTCACAGCATCTCCATATTTCCTTCTGTTTTTACATCCTGTTAAAGATGTGTTGATAATAACATTGTCCTAAGTGAGATTTAAAAAACAATCTAGGTCTGGGAAGGTGGCTCAGTGGTAGAGTGCTTGCCTTACATGCAAGAGGCCCTGGGTTCGATTCCTCAGCCCCACATAAGCAGGAAAAACTGGAAGTGGTGCTGTGGCTCAAGTGGTAGAGCGCTAGCCTTGAGCTGAAGAGCTGAGGGACAGCGCCCAGGCCCAGAGTTCAGGCCCACAACCAACAACAAAACAAAACAAAAAAATTCTAAGTTTCCTCCTTTACTTTCCATCTACACACATGATCTCTTGAACAAAAAGCACAGTAAACCAGAGGATTTGGAACGTGTGTCATCCTATCCTAACACAAATACCCAATGCTACCGATCTGTATTTCAAATCGGTGACTGCCCACGCCAGGTTTCTGAGAACAAAAATGAGACCATAAAGAGGCAATTACTTGGAAAATTTGGCAAGGAAAAATATGAGCTAACAAGATAATTGGTGCAATTGAGTAACGGATCACATTTCCAGAACTTATGCAGGGCTCAGCCAAGGAAGCGGCCTCTGGCCTGTCTAGCCGAGATGCGGCCCACGGCCGGGCACGGTCTGCGCCTCCCAGGTGTGGGGTGCACTTCACTCCACATGCCTGGGCCCAGCAGCGCCCCCAAATAAGCGGGTTGCCAGCTCCTGCGGAGGGAGGCAGGCCCCAGAGAACCCCCAGACCTTGTCGTTTTCTTCCTCCTGGGGTCCACTTGTGATCTCAGAGCTTATGGGAGGAGAGGAGGAGTGCCTAACATGATCGCTTCTTCCTCTCTACCCCTCTGGTCTTAAACGACATCTTGAATTAAAGCATCCAGAACTGCATTCCCCACCAGAGTTACAACCAGAGCCCCAGCAATGCCAATTCCTGACTGATGGTATTTTTCTGAATCAAGGAACACTAACAGAACAATAGAAAATGAATCACACTATGCAAGCACGTATTAACTCATCAAACATGTAATGGATGTTTAAATATCTGCAGACGTTGATGTAGATTCATAACTCAGAACTTGGCTGTCTGTGACGCACGATGCCTTTGTCTCTGAACCCCAGGGGGGACTGGGCCTTAGTTTCCCCAGTCTCTGAATGACTGTCCGGTGCTGTCTGGTGTGCCTCCCCTGCCTCAGCCTCTCTGGGCCCCAGTGGCTGGTGGCTGCTCGCATAGACAGTACATTCTAGAAGAGCTTGCAGTCAGGTGTCTGCCGCCCGCCCACCCACTGCTGTCCTTTGTCTTGGCAGGAGGATGCATGCACATGCAGTGCCCGCAGCCCCAGTGCAGGATGGAGTGGTGCTGGAACTGCGGCTGCGAGTGGAACCGCGTCTGCATGGGCGACCACTGGTTCGATGTGTAGCGGGCACAGCAGGCCACGGCCTCTGCCTTGCCCGGGGGCCGGCGGTCCTTCTTCCAAACACAGATGCTTGCTCACACACACACACACACACACACACACACACACACACAATTATAGACACTTCTGGATCCCACTTACTGCATCCAGGAAAAACTACCACCAGCAACGGTGCCTGTTCACACCTCAGGAAATACCACAGCACCATGAACGCACTTGATGTAAACTTGACACAAACCCTGGCTCTTACACTGATTTTAGTTAGGCCGCATCAGCTCCTGGAGGGAGACTGCTCAAGTTTATTCTCCTGCATTTTACTGCGCGTGAGTACTGAGCGGAAGCCACTGCTGAGGTGGGAAGTGATTGCGGTGTGGGCACAGTGTGGGCTCTCACAGGACAGCCGGCCGTGGCGTCTTAGAGCTAACGACAGCCATGGCTTGGAGAGTGATTTTCCCATCTCACAGGGCCCCAGGTGAGCGCCAAGGATATTTGCTTTTCTCTGAGAATTCTTTCGATAAATTTTGCTGGTAAAATACGCGCTACGCACACATCAAACTGCCAACCACCGAGAGGTCAGGAAAGGGACCTGGAATGCCAGTTTTGCAGTTCCAGGAAACAAAGCAAAACTCACGGTACTTTGATCTCCTTTGATTATTTGCAACATTTGCAAGAACTTATTTCTTCTGAAGACATCACGCATTCTAGAATGTGCATAGCTTGGCAATCGAGATCCTCTACCTTTACTGTAAATCTAGTAGATAAAGGAGATCGTTTTTTAGAACAATTTCAGAATTGCTCTAGGCCAGTGTTATCAAAAGTGCAGATTCTGAAGCTGAATGTATATGGAAGGAGTGCTTCCAGAATGATCTACATGAAAATGCCCCTCCCCCAGGCGACTGCCCAAGAAGCCTGGACTGCCCAGGGCCTTGGCACAGGCCGGCAGGCACGCATCAGAACACACAAGCTAACAAGCTTTGTCTTGGACCACTGCTCACATTTGCAGCTGGTTGTTGAGGTGTTTGAGACCCACAGAAAGATTCCCTCTAGATCCCGTGAGTACAGTTTCCACGACCACTCATGCCGGCAAGAACCTGTCTCGGGCCACGGCGGCCTCCCGCCGGCCTGCTGGCTCCTCCGGAGACAGAACCCAGAACGTCACTGACAACACGCGATGCCCTGCTGGGTTTAGAGGCCTGGAAGTTCCCACCTCAGTGACCCGGCTTCTCTTTTTAGACAAGCCCTTGCCACTGGCAGAAGAGGGGGCCACCCTGGAACTTTCCAGATCACATCCTGAGCATGTCTGTCCCTCTGTCCGTGATGACGTGCCCCTCTGTTTCCTGGGAGGCACAGCACTGGAACATCACACAAGCAGCCAAATTTGGCTTTGCATTAGAATATCCATCCGGCCCACAGGCCAACCACCACCCTACCTGTGCCCGACGCCCAGGGTCACGCAGAAATGCCGGGAAGGGCGAGGGCAGCGGGCGGCGTCTCCTCCGGTCAGCCAGGCGGTGTGGTCCTGACAATCCCAGTCCATCCCCACTGCCGAAGCCAGCAGCACCGAGCCTCGGCCCATACCATATCACCGTGGCCCCGCTTTCTGGGTGCTGCTTTTGTTACTGACCCCTTAGGATTCTGCACGGGGTTTTAGAGTTTTGAAGCTGGAATGAGGTTTGCTGTCACCAGTGGCCGGGAACCCAGTCCCCTGGGGCCACGGGGCTGACTGCCCAGCAGGGTCCTGGTGTATTCACACTAGAGTAGTGATTCTTACAATATATTAAGGGGGGGAAACCCCACTGTGTATGAACATGATTCAGGAATAGTATTATTGGAGCCTGAACTGTGTAATAAAATATGAAGATCAAAAGAACAGAAACAAGATCTCTGCCAAATAATCGTTATTTTTCTCTGACGTATGTTGAGAAATATCTGATGCCTGTGTCTACTGCTGAATTCACACCGTCAATAAAAGCTTCAAAAGATTCTTTGGTCTGTCCTTGGCATTATGTTTTGGAGAAAAGTTGGGGAAAAGAGCGTACACCCCCCCCACACACACACTGCTCCCTGCGTTTCTCTCAGAACTTTCTAGAAGCATCCATCAGCTGGTGACAAATGATCCTTTTTATCTCTATTCTAGATTCTAAATTAACTTGGGTTGTTTTCTCTCTTTGGTATTAGGTTATCAACATTTGAAAGCAGAGCCTTCTGCAGAAATGTTAATAGTTACTTTCCTGCCATCCTGTCTAAATAAATGATTGGTAAAAGTTTCAAGCTGTTTGCAGGTGGCTCACGCCTGTCATCCTAGCTACTCGGGAGGCTGAGATCTGAAGATGGCGGTTCAAAGCCAGCCCGGGTAGGAAAGTCCCTGAGAATCTTATCTCCAATAAACTACCCAGAAAAAGCTGGAAGTGGTGCTGTGGGCACCCACGTGCACACAGAGCGCTGAGCCCGTCTTCAGATTACGAATAAACCATGCAAGCGCAGGATTGAAGGTCACTGTAGTTTGGGTAACCACCCGGGCACAGGGTCCTGACCACACCGCGAGGCCCCGCCGCGAGGGCCCCCCGCATCTCAGCCGTGCACACTGCGCCCCGAGCACTGGCTGCGCACACCCAGCTCAGGAGGGCTCGAGGGACAGAAGCTAAAGCGCCAGCTTGCAACTCCGGTCTCCAGCGAGCTCAGCGCCCAGCCGCGCGGCCCACGCGCCTTTCCCTCTGCCTGGAATCCCCGCCCGACCCAGGCAAGGCTCCGGTCACTTCCACCATGGCGTCTCCAAACCGCTCCCAGCCCCCACGGGGGGGGGGCGTCCCCGAGCGAGCGTGGCATCGAATGCGTAGCACTTCCCACCCCGCGCTTCACAAATGAGAGATGCAGGCTGAGCCCGCCCCCTGCTGCGCCCAGCCTGACTCTAGTGTGTGTGTGTGGGGGGGGGGCTGAACGTTCTACGTGGAAGTCCACTGTGTGGGGACCTTGCCAGTGAGTCCGCGAGGGAGCGCGCCTGTACCCTGCGCCTGCATCCTGTACCCTGCGGCCTGCCCTGCAGCCTGCGCCTGCGGCCTGTACCCTAGCCTGCGGCCTGTACCCTGCGGCCTGTGCCCTGCAGCCTGCACCTGCGGCCTGTACCCTACGCCTGCGGCCTGTACCCTGCGGCCTGCGCCCTGCGCCTGTACCCTGCGCCCACGGCCTGTACCCTGCAGCCTGTGCCCTGTAGCTTGCACTTGCAGCCTGTACCCTGTGGCCTGTGCCTCGCAGCCTGCATCTGCGGCCTGCACCTGCAGCCTGCGTCCTGCGCCTGCCTGCGCCCTGCGCCCTGCGGCCTGTACCTGCAGCCTGCGGCCTGTGCCCTGTTGCCTGTACCTGTGGCCTGTGGCCTGCACCTGCAGCCTGAGCACTGTGGCCTGTGCCCTCTGGCCTGCACCTGCGGCCTGCACCCTGCACCTGCGGCCTGCACCCTGCATCTGCACCCTGTGCTTGCAGCCTGCACCTGCAGCCTGAGCCCTGCACCTGCGACCTGCGGCCTGTACCCTGCACCTGCAGCCTGAGCCCTGCATCTGCAGCCTGCACCCTGTACCTGCGGCCTGTGCCTGCCAGATGCACAGGTTCCGTGCACAGGTAAGGGGAGACGCTAGGACCCATGCTCTCAAGTTGGGGTTATTGCATCCCACAGGGCCCTGCGATTACATCCCCAGGCCCAGGGCACCTCTGCTGCTTCCTTCCTACACTTGGTTGTTCCACCAAGGATTTCTAGTTCTTCATTGCAAACTCAGATAGTGCCTTAGATGTTATTTTTTGCATTCATGTCTCCACACAGCATATGATTTTTTTCTTATATCGTTCCTTGTATTGCAAATTAATTACTACCTTATTAATACTCATTATACAAGAAAAAAGGGACAAAACAAACAACAAAACCATACAGAAGTCATGATTTTGCATCTTATTTGCTCCTAAAACCTGTGATGTTGGGTGGGGTATGTGGTGCATGCCTGTAATCCCAGCAACTCAGAAAGTGGCGATTAAGAGGATAACGGCTAGTCCCTATGAGACTCTTACTTTCCAATTAATCAGTCAAAAGCCTGAAGTGACACTGTGGCTCAAAGTGGTAGAGTGCTAACCTTGAGCAAAAGAGCTTAGAGACAGCACCCAAGCTCTGAGTTCAAGCCCCATGACTGACAAAAAAAAAAAAAAGAATAGTTGATTGTTGCTTGAATCTGCCCTCAAGGAAAATAAACAAAATCCTACTGGAAAAATAACTTTTAATAAAAGACTTAGGGTCTCTCTCAAGGATGGAGTGCCTGTCTGCCACACACAAGGCTGTGAGTTCAAGCCCCAGTCTCCCACCCCCATCCCCTCCCCCCAGCCTCAAAAGTAGCATATAAAGTCAATAGACTTTTTTTTAAAAAATGATATTGTATCAAGTCTTCATCAAGATCTACATTGTATGCCAATTAATAAGTGCTTCTTTTTACTGTAATCTTTTAAAAGTATGTAGCAGCCAGGCATGGTCATGCATATCTTAATTGTAAGTGTGAAGCCAATCTGGGCTACAGTAGTGAGACTTTGTCTCAAAAACTGGAAATAAAAAATAAAGTAAAAAAGCGAGGTGCTGGTGCCACTCACCTATAATTCTAATACTTTATAGGCTGAGATGTGAGAATTGAGGTTCAGAGGCAGCCTGAACAGACAACCAAGAGCAAAAAGCTAGAAGTGAAGGTGTGGTTCAAGTGAGAAGGTGCCACCCTTAGCAAAAAAAAGCTGAGCAACAGCATGAGGCCCTGAGTTCAAGCCCGGGTACTGGCAAAAGTGAATGAATGAATGAATGATTAAACGTAGTCTTTAAACGTTTGGCTAGGACACAACTGTGTGATGTGTAGAGATGTTTTCACTAGGGCAGGAGGGAAAATCCCGTGCTAGAACATTTTCCCAGCATGCATGAGGCCCTGGGTTTCATCCCAAGCACTACCAAAACCAAAAACTTACAATATTACCTTAAAAGAAAAGCAGTTTGCCAAAATGTGTGCACAGTATAATTTCAATGATCAAAGGTGTAGCGTGGTCAGATTATGTTTGCACACTGAAATCCCCAAGCCTATCCCCTGGAAGGGCTTGGTTGTGCCCAGCAAAGGAGCCCTGACAGAGCTCCTCACCACGTGAGCACCCAGAGAGCGCCGCCAGGGGACAGGAAGTGGCCCTCATGGTACCTGGCGCCTGTGCTTTGATATTGGACTTCCGGCCTCCAGAACCGTGAGGAATAACTGCTGTCACTTTGTAGCTTATGAGCTGCCCGTTTATGGTATTTTATGATAACAACCCAAATGGACATTTAAAATACAGTTTGCTGTATTGTTGGAATGACAGATGAGCTTTTATTCAGCCACTGGGTCCATGGTTTGAGGCAGTGGGAAAATATCACACTCTTTTCATTATAAAGAACAAAGATCTGTCTTCATCCTCCATGATAGTTCAAGGTGCCCTGTATTACATGCAGCTAATTAGTGAAGATTTTCCAAGCACAGTTTGGTGGTTATCTGAACTTCACTGAAAGCAATAGAGAAACACATGCCAAGTTGTTCCGTGGCTTTCAAGGGCATCTTGCCAAATGACACTGGCAAAAGTGGGCAGAAGAAGTGAGTTGAACTGAATTTCTGGAGAGACAGAACTGTGCTGCCAGCCCTGGTGTGAACAGGACATTTCTGAGTGCTTCCTGAGTCCTGTCTAGCCTGGAGAAGGACCACTGACTCTCCTGCTTTGCCCAGGACAGAAAGATGCCTGATACAGGGAAGGTACCCGGTATACACATGGCCAGGCCAGAGGGGACTGGCACTGAGAGTCTCCCAGGGGGACAGCAGCCTTGGGGTGATGTTGATAACTTGGCCAGCTGATGAATAATTGAGAGGAAGTTGGGATTTGGCTTTGTTGTGCTTTGTGGGTAGTGCCAGCAATCAAACTGGAAGCAAGGTGGGTAAGCAGGAGAGTGTAGCCCAGTTCCCCTGAGGTTCTCCAGACACAGGGACACGTCTTACCTTATGCCTAAATGATACCTCTGGGTGCTGAAAACCCTAACTGATTCAACTATGAAGACATAGCCGGGCACCCGTGGCTCATGCCTATAAATCTCTGAGGATTGTGGTTGTAATCTGCTGAGATTTGAGGACTGTGATTTGAAGCCAGCTTGGGCAGGACTACCACCAAAACACCAGAAGTGGAGCTGTAGTTCCAGTGATAGGGCTCTAGCCTTGACCAAAAAGCTCAGGGACAGAATCCAAGCCCGGACTTCAAGTCCTAGTCCCAACCCAACGGGGAGGAAATGCTATGTGAAGAGAAATGTTATTTTTAACTTCTATTATCTGTCCAACAAATAATTACTGGGCACTGGGTATGTTCAAGCAACAAAAATGAAAACAGATTTCCTCTGCTTGCAATTCTCCTGAAACCAGGAGCCAGAGGTGTCCATCTATATTCCTGGCTGTTCCAGAGGTGTCCATCTATATTCCTGGCTGTTCCAGAGGCCGAGATCTGCAAGATCACAGTTTGAAGCCTAAGGAAGAAAAGGTCAATAGACTTCATCTGAAAAAAAAAAAAAAAAAGAGGCTGGAGATGTGGCTCGAGTGATAAGAGTGCCAGCCAAGCAAACAAGCTGAGAGGGTTTGGGGCAGATGAGGTAAAGGCATGAATGCAGAAACTCCCCTCTATCAGCAGTAGCATCTCCCATCATGCTCTGGGCCTCATTCTCCTCAGTCAGCCCATCAGGAGAATCCTAGCAACTTAGCAGGTTTATCAATGTTT